TTATGTAATGAGGTTATCTAACAATTAACAAATTTATCTAAGTGATTACTATCAATCAACCAAGCCAACTTTCTCATTAATATTTCTCATCTTAAATTTATCAATTTTGCAGATTATTAGAACTATTATTATTATTATTATTATTAATATTATTATTACTCCAGTAATCGATTTCTTTTATTGGATCCACACAGCCCCATCAATCAGTTTAATTTGATTTATCATTATTACAATTATCGTCATTATTATAATCATTGCTCCGTATTATAGTTTTACTCTGGCCGGCCTAACAACTCAAAATAACTAAAGGAGTTAAAACAGAGTAGTACGTACTCTGTGTCGCCAAGCCGAACTATTGGTGCCGAGGTTGCAGCGGCCACTCATTCAGCGACGACGGTGGTCTTAAACAGCGGTGTTCTCCCCCCGGCAAGGACTGCGGTGACAGTGCACGTCCTCCCCTTTCGGCGTGAATTCAGTTCGGCAGCAGTACTCCGGCGAAGCTGTAGTTCCAGCTATGGCCTTGCCTCCCCTTCAGCCTAGCGTCACTCTGGAAACTTCCACCGGCGGTCCTCTTTCCCTAACGTCAACACCGGAAGTCCGATTCCCTGCAGTGTCCTCCCAGCGGCCCTTCTCTTTCCGACGTGGAGGTAGGCCCAGGTCCGGTGAGACTCCGGCGAAGAATTTCTCCTTCTTCTAAAGGCCGTTTCTCTCTTTCTCACTTTATTTGGCTTGTACCGAACGAAGCTTTGAAGTAGTTTTTACCTATGGGTTTCCGGCATATTGCGGGGTTGAAATGTCCGTATATATACAGGTGCATAAGTATATGCATTGATGTGCAGGTCGCTGGTTTCTTCTTGGCGTAGAAACATACACGTCGCTCGTTTGCTTCATCAATTGATTATCTTTGGCCTCTTCCAGTTACTGATTGATGCAGCATGTGAGATTGTTTCATTTCGATGAGGCCCGTGAACTCATAGTCCACACGGTTCATTGCATCATGCTATCCATCTTATAGTAAGTATATATGTGTATATTACGATAGTATTATCTTCATTATTTGATCGCACACTTGGGTGGGTATGGCAGGTGTGAAGGTGCCGGTTGTTCACTCGTTTTGGTAGTTCGAAAGATCCGCATATCCATTATTTGTTGTTATGTTGAAGTATTCACACAAGTGGTTAGCTAGTATATCATGCACGTACAAGTGACTAGCTAGTGTATCATTGTTACGCATTACTCCTATTAATAGTTACGTAGTGCAAAGTATATTATTATGTGCTACTTATGTATACTTATTATTTGACACACCTTTGAAATTGTTAAGAGGTCACTTTTGTTATTGAAACATTTGTATCTGACTAAAGATTTTATCTGACTCACTTGATTATTAAAAAATCACTTTCGTAATATTTTGCTAACTAATAAAATTTATTTATTTTATTTTCCGAGGTGTCACATTCTACCCTCCTTAAAAGATGTTTCGTCCCGAAACATAAACTAAAGAAAATTTTATCCACAAATGAATACCACATCTTAGTTAATATTAAATTTTATTTTATTAAGTTTATGGAGTGTCACATTCTACCCCCCTTAGAAGATGCTTCGTCCCGAAGCATAAGCTAATAAAATATCTTGTAATTTAAGAGGTATTACAAGGTTATGTCCCCGTAATCACAACGTTACCTTAGTCAAATAACTTTGGATACCGGCTGCGCATATCATCTTCGGACTCCCAAGTGGCGTTTTCGGCCAAGTGGTTAGACCACAATACCTTTACCATTTTAACTGACTTTCTCCTAGTCTCACGAGTTTTGGTATCAAGGATCTGGATAGGCCTTTCCTCATAAGTCAATGCTTCGTCCAATTCGACCACCTAATTGAGTCAATGTTAGACATGTTGAATTTGATTTTGAAAATCGTGAGGTTACGATTTGTACCTCAGGGTTAAGGATATGTGATTCGTCGCGAATATACTTCTTCAACTGTGAAATATGGAAAACGTTGTGTACCTAAGTACATCACGCGTTAGTATTTGAGAGGCACTTACTGTTATATCTACCATCGAGAGGTTAAGGTGTGTCTTACCTTAGCCAATTCCATGGGTAAAGCTAAACGGTATGCCAATCGTCCCACTCGCTCGAGGATATCATACGGGCCGATGAATCTCGGGCTTAGCTTTCCCTTCTTTCCGAATCTCATTACTCCCTTCGTTGGGGAGACTTTGAGTAGGACTTTTTCTCCCACTTCGAATTCAGCTGGCTTCCTCCCCAAGTCTGCATAAGACTTCTGGCGATCTTGTGCAGCTTTCATCCTGGCTTGAATCAGCTTCACCTTCTCCATGGTGTCATGTAGGTATTCTGGCCCTAACACCACCTTGTCTGTCAAGTCGCTCCAGCATAGTGGGCTTCTACACTTTTGACCATATAAAGCTTCGTATGGGGCCATCTTGATACTGGCGTGGTAGCTATTGTTGTATGAAAACTCGATTAAGTCTAAGTGTTCGTCCCATGACCCTTGTAGGTCTAACATACATGCTCTCAGCATGTCTTCGAGTGTTTGGATTGTTCGCTCAGTTTGTCCATCAGTGGTTGGGTGAAAGGCTGTACTCAGTTTCAGTTTCGTCCCCAGAGCAGCTTGCAATTCCTTCCAGAATTGAGATAGAAATCTAGAATCACGGTCAGAAACAATGTCTTGTGGAACTCCATGGTATTTAACTACGTGTTTGATGTAAGCTCGAGCTAACTTTTCCATGCTCCATGTCTCGTTCATTGGGATGAAGCGAGCGGTCTTTGTTAACCGATCAACTATAACCCATACCTTGTCTTTGCCAGACTTGGTTAGGGGTAAGCCCCCAACAAAGTCCATGGAGATAGAATCCCATTTCCATTTTGGTACCTCCAAAGGTTGAACGAGCCCTTTGGGCTTGCAACGTTCGGCTTTCACCTTCTGGCAGTTTAGGCATCGAGCCACGAATTCAGCTACCTCCTTCTTCATCTTTGGCCACCAAAAGTTCTTTTTGATGTCTTTGTAGAGCTTGTCGCCTCCAGGGTGCACCGAGTAAGGCGTGTTGTGCCCTTCCTCCATAATTTTCTTCTTAAGTTCTTCACATTTCATCGGGACACACCACCTTCCTTTGTGTCGAATGCTACCATCTTCGTGCAGTTCGAATGGTCCGTTTACGCCATTCATCATACCACCTCGGATTCTGTCCAACTTTATATCTCCAGGCTGCCCTGCTCTAATTTCATCGAAAATAGATGGGGTAACGGTCATGGTGAGTAACCGCGTTTCCCGATCTACTTCTCCGAAATTCTGTACCTCCAAGCCTAGTTTTTGAAAGTCCCGATATAGCTCATCAGGTAGTATCCATGTTGCTCTGCAGGAGTGGGTTGATTTTCGGCTCAGCGCATCGGCAACTACGTTTGCTTTCCCTTCATGGTACTGAATCTCCAAGTCGTAGTCCTTGACGAGTTCTAGCCAACGTCTTTGTCTCATGTTAAGCTCTTTTTGGGTGAAGATGTACTTTAGGCTCTTGTGATCGGTGTAAATTTTACACTGTACCCCATATAGATAGTGCCTCCATAGTTTTAAGGCGAAGATAACCGCTGCCAGTTCCAAGTCATGAGTCGGGTAGCTTACCTCGTGGGTCTTCAGTTGTCTTGATGCATAGGCCACCACTTTGCCATTTTGCATCAATACGCAACCCAACCCTTTCAAACAAGCATCGGTGTAAACCTCGAACCCCTCAGTACCGGATGGTAGGGTTAAGATAGGTGCGGTTGTTAATCTTTGCTTAAGCTCCTGGAAAGCCTTCTTGCATTCCTCATCCCATATGAATTTCGTGGTCTTCTTCGTGAGGTTAGTCAAAGGTTTTGCAATATTGGAGAAATCCTTCACGAATCTGCGATAATAGCCTGCCAAGCCTAGAAAGCTCCGGACCTCCGTCACGGTTGTGGGTGCAGGCCAGTCTATCACTGCTTCGATCTTTGATGGATCAACAGATACACCTTCTTGGGTGATGATGTGGCCCAAGAATGCTACCCGATCCTTCCAGAATTCACACTTTGAGAGTTTGGCATAAAGCTGATTCTCTCTCAAAGTTTGCAGCGCTGTCCTCAGATGTTCTTCGTGCTCTTTTGGTGTCTTAGAGTACACCAGGATGTCGTCGATGAATACAATAGTAAACAAGTTGAGGTAGGGTCGGAACACACGGTTCATGAGGTCCATAAATACCGCAGGCGCATTTGTTAGGCCGAACGGCATCACGGTGAACTCATAGTGTCCGTACCTCGTTCGAAAAGCCGTCTTCGGGGTGTCTTTCTCGGCAATCCTCACTTGATGGTACCCGGATCTCAGATCGACTTTGGAGAACGTGTTAGCCCCCTTCAATTGATCAAAGAGGTCATCAATGCGAGGCAGCATATATTTGTTCTTGACTGTTGCTTTGTTTAATTCCCTATAGTCGATGCAGAGCCTCAGGCTCCCATCCTTCTTCTTTACAAACAAGACCGGAGCGCCCCATGGTGAGACACTCGGTTTGATGTAGCCCTTCCCCAATAGTTCTTCGAGTTGCTCCTTCAGCTCCTGCATCTCCTTTGGTGCCATTCGGTACGGCGCCTTCGAAATAGGTGCGGTGCCCGGCATTAGATCGATCGAAAACTCAACTTCCCTCTCTGGCGGCATCCCCGGGATTTCTTCTGGAAACACATCCGGAAATTCATTGACCACATGGATTTGGTCAATGGTTGGATCTTCGGATGTTAAGTCTTTGATCATGCATAAGTAAACTTCATACCCCTTCCGGACGTATCGTTTGACTTGTTGCATGGTTGCCAGCTTCATGCCTGGCTGAGATGTAACCACTTTGTAGGATACACGCTTCTTGTGGGGTCCTTTCAAGACCACCTTTTGTTCATCACAAAGAATTCTCGCCTTATATTTTCCTAGCCAATCCATTCCCAACACCACGTCGATATCCTCCAAGTCAAATTGGATTAGATCTCCGGGTAATTCGGTATTAGATATGACTATAGAAACATTGGAGAAAACACTCCCGCAAGCTACAACTTTATTAGATGCTGTTTTTACATTAAGGTTGAGTGTAGCGGTAGGTTCTAACTTTAACTTTTCCACAAGTTTTGAGGATATAAAACTGTGGGATGCACCCGAATCAAACAGTACATGAGCAGGTGTGGAATTTACAAGGAATGTACCTGACACAACATCGTTGGCATTCGCTTGAGCTTGGTTCATGACGTAGATTCGGCCCTGGTTGCTATTTTGTCTTCCCTGACCCTGATTATGGTTGCCTTCCGCCGGGCGGTTACTGGGAGTACCACGGTTGATGTTCACGGGATTATCCCCACCCCCGGTTTGGTTGTTCCCCTGGTTTTGGCCCTGACCCCGAGGTTTCCGGCATTCGTATGCCCTATGCCCCATGAGGTTACAGTTGTAGCATTTCACTGGATTACCCTTACAATCCGCTCCAGGATGGTTGTTCGGACAAAGTTTGCACTTGTAGTACCTTATTTGACTTGGCTGGTCTCTTCCCTGACCCTGGCCCTGGAAGGTTCTCCCGCCTTGATTGTTTTGCCATTGTTCAGGGCGGTCAGTTCTAGCCTTCTTTTGTTGCTGCTCTATTTCAACATTCTTCCGATCTCTCTTCTGTGCCTCTCTTTCTTTCTGGTGTACTAGATAGTACTTGCCAGCCTTTCTATATGCCTCGTTCAGGTTCCGTGGCTCTGCTACAGTCACGAACTTTTGGGCCCCGTAGTTAAGCCCGTTAACAAATCTGCGGGTCATGCTGGCCTCGGTTGACACCAGGTCTTTGGCAAAACGAGCCAATTGGACAAACTTCGTGTGATATTCCTGAACAGTCAGGTCACCTTGCTTGAAATTGACAAATTCGTCATAATTTGCCTCCTTTACGTGATCCGGGTAGAAGCGATCGCGTAGCGCTACTATGAAGTCCTCCCAGTCAAATCCCGGTTGCTCGAGAAGTGTTGGTCCGGTGGCAGCCCACCAGTGGTCTGCTTCTTGGTGCAGGTAATACACCGCAATGTTCACTCGCTGCTCCAACGGGCAATTGAGTGAGTCAAAGAGTTTGTCGAAGGTGCGAATCCAGTCCTCCAAAATAAGATGGTCCTCCTCGCCCAAATATTTTGGAGGGTTCCGTCCGGCTACTCTTGTTGCGTAGTCAATCCCACGGTTCGAGGCTTGAGCCGCTCCGATAAGTTGTGCCATTTGTTGGACAGTTTGGGCAAGCTCTTCCACAGTTGGGGTTGTGTGGGGGTTCCTTCTTGGCGGCATGATTCTTAATAAAGAAAACGAATACTAAGTACTAAGGCATTCATAAGGCTTCTACATTATGCTAGTTCTCTACTAACTCAAATTCTTATGACAGATAAACACATACAGAGGATAACATATCCACATACTTCACATAGGCACGAATCTCAAGCATTTCATAACTCAATAATATCGCAAAGGTTTCTCCTCCTCACTGCATTCCTAGAAAGGCCCTTTTTCCTAGTATGTTCATTCTCCTAGTTCTTACGAAAAACATTTTGAAAATCCCCACTTCGAAACCATTGTTTTCGTCAAAGATTTCGAACAACGAAGTTTCAGCACAAGGAGAAATTCCCAGTTGGTTGGACGAGCGCAAAGGCTCAATTATGCACCAACCAGCTCAGACTCTTATCGTCTCGTTGACAGAATTCCTCCCTACGACCTATTACCCCGTGTCCTAATCCTTTCGGAAAACCTAAGGGCTCTGATACCAATTTGTTGGTATCACTTAGGAAAATTTAAGAAACATTAGAAAACTTTTGAAAAATTGTTTAGAAAACGGAAAACTGCTTTGAAAAATTCCCCAGAAAAAATCATTTCTCTGATACCAATTTGTAACACCCCCATTTTCCCTCCCAAAATAATACTTGAAATAATAGATTTATTGATAATAAACTTGATTTATTCTTTCAAAACAGATAAAAAGTTTTGCAGCGGAAATAACACTAATTGGGAAATGGGTGTTACCGCCACATCCGGTCGTCTCTTAACCGAATGCACAGGCAATCACAAAACTAAACAAGGTAAAACAAGTGTTCAACATAATTAAATTATAATTCTTGACTAGGTTTGACTAAGGCATCTCTAAACCGCTCTCGGGAATCAAGCAATCATCAGTCAACATAAGCATCATCACCTGCACAAATAAAGTGCAGAAAACAAAACAAAGGAAAGAAAACAAAAATTAGCTTTAGAGCTAAGTAAGTACTACCCAACCCCGTAAAATAATCAGGTTTGGCGAAAAATAGTTTTTCATATAATACTATATAAAAATGACACACTCCACCAAAATTCTTTTCTCTTTGATATTTCTCAAAATCACTTCTTTAATAAAGTCCTCAACTTTTCTTTGAAAATACCATAGTAACTCTTCTCTTGGAATTTCTCAAAGTTCACTTCTTCTCTATCTTCCTAGTAATTTAGAAGGGCGGTGCTCAACACTCTAGTTGAGCCCGGTGGTTACGTTGTTATGTACGGCCACCCCGGGACTTTTGCCGGTACCACAACTGCTAATGGAAACGAAACGACTACCTTAAGTGTGCACACCCCCTAAAAGGGATTCCAAGCCCTCTGAGTAGTAAGTCGTCACGAGTAATTGGGACTCAGTCTACCAACTACCCCACCTTTAGAATTCTTGAATGATTAGGGACTACTACTACTATAACTTCTTCTTAAAAGGGATCATAGATCCAAATGTCACTTCAAACTCAAATTGTACTTCTTAGTAGTAGCAGCCTTAATCACCCTCCACATTTATCCGGATGTGGAAAACCGACACCACGGATTTCTCCCGGGTGCTCACCTCTTATGAAATCCTTAATTTTATCTTGAATTAAGTATACTTCAAAAATATTTTTCAATCTCTCTAAATAGTCTCAAAAGTATTTTTAAAATATTTAATACCCAAAAGAACTTCGTTTGCACTTCAAAAATACCATAAATCTAATATCTCCTCAAAATCACATACACATAATTCAAAATTCACTCTTTATCACAAAATGCATAATAAGCATATAATACGAGGAAATCATTTTGGATCGGCAGAGAAACTTACCTTAAGTCCTGATGCTCCTAATTCTCTTTCTCAAATCCGGTCTCTAAATATTCACCTTTTTAATTAAGATGATATAATTAATTAGTCACTTATTCTATTTTTAATAATATAACCGATTTTCACCTTTTATTTTATTATTCAAATTTATTAATATAATTAACTAATTAATTATTCAAACTTAGCTTATCCATTCATTAATCACTTTTATTAATCCACTACTTTGTTACGATCTGAATTCGGCCAATAAATTTTTAATTACTAATGATATCCAATATCATGTTATACTTATCCGAATTATATTTCAATTATATGTCCAAATTTCACAATTACTTTAGTTTATATTAATCAACATTAATTTACTCTACTTATAAAACATCCCAATAATTAATTATATTTTAATATTATTTAGATATACCAATTATAAACATATTCGAATTACCTTCAATTATAGTTTATTACTAATATCTTCGTACTTAATGGCTACCTTAATTAAGTTCGGTAATTAATTCAATAATTCTTTATTAATTTTAATCTAGTCCAATAATAAAAAGGTATTACATAGTTAACTAGTTCAATTCGTCATAATCTTTTTATTATTGACACTTACATTATTAATCCAAAGATTTTGTTAATAATCCGCATTTTATTTAATTAACTTATTCAAATTTCATGATTACCTTAATCAACAATATTAGTAAATCTGAATATTCTAGCAATTATCTAAATTAACTAATCATCATTAACTAAACCTGATTTTATTAATCTACTCAACACTTAATATTTCCGAGTCCGTAATTTAATTTTATGGATCTACTTCAATTAATCCAATAATTAGTGAAAATAATATCTATCCAACTTCGTTTAATCTGATTATGGTATTAAGTCCAAGTGACTGAATATTATTTTAATACGTAGTATAATGTACGTTTATCAGCTTTTATTAATTACTCATCACTTCATTTTAGCATTATGTAATGAGGTTATCTAACAATTAACAAATTTATCTAAGTGATTACTATCAATCAACCAAGCCAACTTTCTCATTAATATTTCTCATCTTAAATTTATCAATTTTGCAGATTATTAGAACTATTATTATTATTATTATTAATATTATTATTACTCCAGTAATCGATTTCTTTTATTGGATCCACACAGCCCCATCAATCAGTTTAATTTGATTTATCATTATTACAATTATCGTCATTATTATAATCATTGCTCCGTATTATAGTTTTACTCTGGCCGGCCTAACAACTCAAAATAACTAAAGGAGTTAAAACAGAGTAGTACGTACTCTGTGTCGCCAAGCCGAACTATTGGTGCCGAGGTTGCAGCGGCCACTCATTCAGCGACGACGGTGGTCTTAAACAGCGGTGTTCTCCCCCCGGCAAGGACTGCGGTGACAGTGCACGTCCTCCCCTTTCGGCGTGAATTCAGTTCGGCAGCAGTACTCCGGCGAAGCTGTAGTTCCAGCTATGGCCTTGCCTCCCCTTCAGCCTAGCGTCACTCTGGAAACTTCCACCGGCGGTCCTCTTTCCCTAACGTCAACACCGGAAGTCCGATTCCCTGCAGTGTCCTCCCAGCGGCCCTTCTCTTTCCGACGTGGAGGTAGGCCCAGGTCCGGTGAGACTCCGGCGAAGAATTTCTCCTTCTTCTAAAGGCCGTTTCTCTCTTTCTCACTTTATTTGGCTTGTACCGAACGAAGCTTTGAAGTAGTTTTTACCTATGGGTTTCCGGCATATTGCGGGGTTGAAATGTCCGTATATATACAGGTGCATAAGTATATGCATTGATGTGCAGGTCGCTGGTTTCTTCTTGGCGTAGAAACATACACGTCGCTCGTTTGCTTCATCAATTGATTATCTTTGGCCTCTTCCAGTTACTGATTGATGCAGCATGTGAGATTGTTTCATTTCGATGAGGCCCGTGAACTCATAGTCCACACGGTTCATTGCATCATGCTATCCATCTTATAGTAAGTATATATGTGTATATTACGATAGTATTATCTTCATTATTTGATCGCACACTTGGGTGGGTATGGCAGGTGTGAAGGTGCCGGTTGTTCACTCGTTTTGGTAGTTCGAAAGATCCGCATATCCATTATTTGTTGTTATGTTGAAGTATTCACACAAGTGGTTAGCTAGTATATCATGCACGTACAAGTGACTAGCTAGTGTATCATTGTTACGCATTACTCCTATTAATAGTTACGTAGTGCA